GGGGGGGCAGTGATACATCAGTATGGTGCCTTAGAGGAAGGAAGGGAGCCCGTCTGTGACACCCTCTCTGGAGAGGCGACGCCAGAGCCTCCTCAGCCACCATGCCAGCAGCTTTCTGGAAACTTCCGGTCCCTGCAGTCCGGCTTTGACGGAAGCACTTTCGGGAACGACGGTTGCCGTTCGTCTTTTTAGTTTGGGAAGAGAGAGGCTGAAACACAGGATTAGCGCAGCCTTTGGCCGGATTTTCTCCAACGATCCCTGGGCGGCTTCAGAATTGCTCACAGACAGAAGTTTCCGGGCCTCTCCATAGAATCTTGGGTCAGCGTCAAGTCGAGATTTTGGAAAGTTTCCGGATCTCTCCATGGAGTCTCGAGTTGATATTTTGGGAAGTATGTTTTAATCAGGGTCCGGATCACAGGGTGACATCGCTTCATGTCCATTTAATTACTCTAACAAGAAACCCTGTAGCTCACAGACAGCCATGCTGAGCACCGTCAAGGTGTGATGTAAATTTCAGAAAAAAAAATGCATGAAAATGCAGTTAGGACGATCGAGGTTCATTCGATGTGAGGAGTTGGGAGAGAGCGAGCGAGTGAGCGAGAGAGAGAGAGGGATAGAGAGAGGGAGAGAGGAGGGAACTTCACAGTGCCAAATCAGATTAGCCTCCCGAAACAGCACCGCTCGATGTGGCCGCTCTCAGCCGGCCCAGCCAGCAAAAGAGCCGATTATGAGAACAATCTGTTTGTCATTAGGGCGCTCAGGCCCATCAGGGGCTTTGCGAGTGGAGGGGGGGGGGCTAATCGCCCACTGACAGGGGTCAGGGCACCGCGGCGATTCTGGCCCGCTTCAGTACAGCCTCAAAAGGTCCAGAGCCCTCTATGGCTTACCACACTAGCTCTGCTGGTGCTGGGACAAAGTGCACCCTGTCACCAAACTGAGACTTTAGAACCAGTGTCCAGAAGAGGTGATTTTTTTTAAGTGGGAGGCATAAGAGAGCCATAGTTCATACAGAGTGGCCGATTTTTATCATTATCCAATCAAATGTTTTGAATTGGTGAGGGACACTCCGGGGGCCCAATCAGCTTTCAGATACCTGCACCTGTATACGCCCCTGGCATCCAGGGAACCACAAATCATCCTTTCATCTTCATGCCCCATTTTCAATATGTCACCCTCCACCATTACGGTGCCTCGTCTCAAATCCATTCCCATTGACATTCTGGGGGCAAATCGCACGGTAATGGGTCTCCATGCGAGGGGGGGGGGTAAATTACCTTAACCCGGTCAGGGAGGAAAACCATTCTGGGATTTTCTAAACGCTCCAAACAAGGCCCATGCGATGGCTGGCCACACTGGATGAGAGAGACACTGTTTCAACGGCCTGTGTTGATTATGCATTTAAAGTGCCCTTCATGGCAGCCTGACTCTTTAATGAAGGGACAGTGGCTTGGCCGGCATCCATCTCCATCCTCCGCACATCGAGAAGCTGGCTCCCCTTCAATGAACAAGGGCTATATCGTAGGGTACCAGGAAAGTCGCTCTTGGATGAAATCTGCTACCTAAAGATCCTTCAGCAAGTCCAAATAAAATCCGGGGGGAGTACGCAATCAAACCGCTCCCCCGACCTACCCCCCCCTGCGAACCCCTGGCAACAGTGCTGGGACCTGCCTTCCGCACCCCCTACCGCTGAGGTCTGCTGCTTCATCAGGAAGTTTCATGAGACCCACACCGAAGACCTGTGGCCTGTACTACGACGCGGGGTTACTGGCTTATCGGGGTAGCTTGTCAGATTTAAGGTACCACAGTTTAAATGGACTTCATATTCGTTTACTTACATTTTGCCCAGACTACCTTAAATCCGACAAGTTACCCCGATAAGCCAGTAACCCCGCTTTGTAGTACAGGCCACTGACCTGGCAAAAGCGTGTTATGTTGCTAGGAAACCTGGTCAGGTGACCCATGTATATGTAGCCATTAACTACAGCAAATCTTGGCCCCTGCTTCACTGTCATGAAATGTGTGTCTGCTCGCTTCCCCGGATGAGTACAGAATGGCTCCTCCTCCACCAAGAGAGAGGAGGCTCTGATTCTTCTCCCAATTCTTCTCTCGGTGTAGATGGAGCAGCGATTTTGTGGGAAAATGCCAACCTTTCGGTGCTCCTGCAGGTTGACTGATGAAGAGCACTTCTTGTTGCAGATGGAGCACATCAGCTTCCTACGAGCGCTTCCTGCAAAAGAGACAGATCTCCGTAAATACTCAGAGCCCATCAGCTTCTCACGTCAAATTCCTGCGATGCAAAGGTAGGACAGTGAGCATATGTGCCTGGACTGAGAACCAGTCAGCTTCCGGGAAAAGAAAAGCAGGTCACTGTGAGCAAATGTCAACATCAAGAGCCAATCAGATTCATACATGAAGTTAGGGCCCTGAGTCTGAGTGCCAGCACTGAGAGCCAATCAGCTTCTCGCATGAACTTCCTGTAAAGCAAAGGTAGGATGCTGAGTGTGAGTGCTAGAACTGAGAGCCAATCAGCTTCTCACATGAACTTCCTGTGAAGCGAAGATTGAATACTGAGTATAAGTGCCAGAACAGAGAGCCAATCAACTTCTAGCATGTACTTTCCAGGAAAGGTGCTGACGGGGCACCTACACCTGTCAAATGAATGACCTTGCTTAAAGGGTTCAGGCAGCAGTAAACACAAACCGCACATTGTGTTCAGGCAACATAAACCGCACATGTCTCACTGTTCCGCCTCACCCTCTGCCCAAAGCGGACAGGACAAGCCCACGGGGAAGCCAGACCAGCACAACCTTCCACGCCATTCCACAGCTGGAAAGCTGGACCTCAGCCTTCGCAAACTGGGCCTTGTCAAAGCCTGGCAGTCCTTCTGGGTTTTTGCGGATGAGATGCATCAGGGAGCGAGTCGGATTTCCTCATGTTCACCCCCAATGCAAACAAGCTGTGTTTAGTCAGACACCTTTTAGCTGCTTTTGGAAAAACAAACCACAGATACAACATGATTCGATTTTAATGGGGTCTATAAATAATGATTCTTAACCCTAAACATACAAGCTAGTGATGACATTTCGGACCGCAGAGTACAGAGTGAAAGCTTAGTAAGCAAGTACAGCTGGTAGCATGTTGCTTACTGGGGCACCAATCGTTATCTGCCCTCCAAAGGTCAAAGGTCAGAGGTCAAAAGGCCACACAATCTTATTTCTCATCCCTCCTCATGAATAACCAGATTAAAAACTGACAGTCCTTCAACTTAAAGTCTATGTCAAATACTGTTTACTACCCTGGGGCTATTTTACTGAATCAAAATTAATGGTAACTGCCCCCCGCCCAACAGGGTACAGACACACACAGTGCACAGCAGATTTCAGGGTGGGGGTCAGGATGGGTCAAGTTAACAAGTAAGTGGGCAGGGGGGGGACAGGATGGGGGGTCACAGGGGATGTTAGGGTGTAATGGGTCATGATACGACTGAGTGGGGGGGTGGGCATCTGCACAAATAAGACCCACACAGACACACACAGATCCACACAGACACACGCAGACACACACAGACACACACAGACACACGCAGACACACGCAGACACACACAGATCCACACAGATCCACACAGGCACACACAGATCCACACAGACACACGCAGACACACACAGACACACGCAGACACACACAGATCCACACAGACACACACAGACACACACAGACACACGCAGACACACACAGATCCACACAGACACACGCAGACACACGCAGACACACACAGACACCCACAAACATAGGGCGCTTTTCCACTGCACAAAGTACCATAGTTTTTAGTGTTTCCCCTTTTCCATTGACTTCCAGTCGAGTCCCAGTACCAAAAGTGCCAAACCAGCTGGGGTAGTTCTTTGGCACTTTGGTACTTCAGGGTGGGACTTCAAACGCGTTCTTTGTTGATTGGTTATGCAAATAGCCTGCCTCTGAACTCAATACAACTGCCGCCGTTAAAGCAGTTGTGAACTCGACAATGATAAACTATAAGTTAAAAAAAAAATGCGATCTGGTCAGAAGAACAGATACAACAAAAAGATCAAGATGGCATGAAAAATTTAAAAAGTATTTTGTTTAATATAATGTTAATGTTAATGTGATTTTGTTGTAAATACAGCAATGTGATTTTGTTGTAATAAATGCTGGGGTATTTATAAAACAAAAAACTAGTTCATAAATTTCTGACAAACCTGTCTAGGAATGATTTAAATAGCAAGGATGGAAATGATTGATTGTCTCCGAGAACGCATGCAGGCTCATGCAAAAGTCACGGAGGTAAACTTTAAAACTATTTTTAAACATATAGATAATCTAGATGAACTAGATTTTAAATAAAATTGCGTAATGGAGTAATTAAATTGCAAAGAGTTTAGTGAAACTTATACTCCCTGCGCTATAATGTCTGTACAGAGTTGAAAGTATGAAAAAGCCTGATCTTAACATAGCTACCTAGCAATGTAAGAATTGCATGTGCATAACATGCAATGTTGCTATTAATATAATGTTCTACAGCCATTTTTCAAATTCTGCCTTCTGTTGTGATGTTATATACACACACACACACACACACACACACAGACCAACAGACAAACACACACACAGACAGACAGACTCACACACACACACACACACACACACACACACACACACAC